TTATGGTGTTATCGGTGACGTGGACTGATTGACACCTTTGAAAGCGTTTAGAACCTTCTCCTGCATTCCTTGCACTTCGCTAGAGACTTTCGTTGAGATGTCGGTGTACTCGTTTTTCAACTGATCTATAACCCACTCGACACCTTTTCTTCCCTAAACGGAATTATAATGGTGTTAAACAATCAAAACCTAAACAAACTACGTTACCTTAGCAGCATTTGAGGAGTAGACACCTATAAACGCTTTCTCGCAGTAATCTACGAACGCAGGTAGAGTTATAGTTACTATGGCTTCTTGTTTGAGAATAGTTCTAAAATTTAGCAATAACACATTTGACGAATGCGCATAGGAAAAACAAGCATTACGAAACCTACTTTGAAGGATCTTCAGGGAGTGGAGTGTAAGTAAGTTTCTCATCTACTCGGAGGAATGAAGAACAATTGAGCTGAATCAAAAAGTCTTAAATTACATGAAATATTGTACAATATGACATACTCCAAAATCAACGGAAAACCTAGAAGTGAGCTCACATTTCTCGTAGTTAATGACATCGTTCGTTGCTGAGGATCAATGACTGTGTATTCATGTGAGTACTGTGTTCCGGAGAACCCTGTTAACTGAAATCAAACTTCACAGTTGATAATAATATCTAATATCGTGATCATTTACAGGTCATATAATGTGAACGTTTTCTCGTTAAAGAGATAAGCGTCGTCTAGGTATAGAAAACCAGCTACAGCGTTTCAGGTCAGCGATTTTTCGCAGTGATGGCCCAATGTCTACCAACAAAATACTATGAAACAAGAGGAAATACTGAATTTTACTTTCAAAAATTATTCAAAACATACATACCACAACTGTTCATATTGACCTATTGTTCGATTTGGCAGATCAGCCTCCCAGAAGTTAGGGAACAGTAGCTTACCAGTTTCAAACTGTAGGCTAAATAGGATCAAAAATTCTTGAAGTTTCGTTAAAGATTCGTGAAAAAAGATTTTTACGAATCCGCAAGATCCTGAATTGGATTTCGAAAATCTTGAAAAGCTGGTCAAAATTCTGATTACCAGCTGGCACCCCAAGGATTACATTGATCGAGTGGACATTATATAACAAAAATTTATACGATGGACTTTACGCATACCAGATGTGACTATATGATATGCTGCGAAACGTGTGAAGAAACCAACTGGTTATACCGGCAATTTCTATTCGCTACTTAAAATGTGGATTAGATTAAATATTTATGATGGAAACGTATGAAATGAAGCTACGCTTTTGGACGATTATCTTGAGAAAAAGAATAGAAGAACATATTTTTTCCACAACCAGAACAATGGGAAATCTCCAAGGAGAAATTGATGTCAAAATAGCAAAAGAGACAAGTAGCACAACTAACCTTCGTTGCCCACAAAGGAATCTGGAAACGCGACTGGATGAGCCTTTCCGAGAAAATTTTGCCAGCCTGCAACGTCTGCCGCAAAACATCCATGCCTGTGACACCTTGATTCATAGGATTTGGATACTTCCTCCAGGCTGCATTTACAACAGTTTCCCAGTCATGTCTAAAACACATGAGAATAGGATAGGTGTATGGGAAATCGAGATATTACCACATACTCGAATACGTGTTCCGAAGTCCAGATCTTCATGATGAGCCTTGCGAATGTATTATTTCCTAAAAATCCGCTGGCTATGAGTACCCTAAGACTGAAAGTAAGTCGATCAGCTGGTTTAATTCCAACATGGATAAAACACAACGAAGAGAAAGTAATAAAAAATGATACGTGTGCATCGGAGTGTATCAGCACAGACAATGGAACGGTGAAAGGGTGAAGGAGCAGACGAGAAAATCGATAGAGCGATAATGGATCGCGTTTTTTTCTCTCGACAGACGTCGAGTGCATGCGTCATTCGTCCTTTGGCACCATTCGACTGACGAACGAACAGTCAAATGCCACAAGCTGTGAAGGAGGCGGCCAGAAAATGAACACACGAGCAAAGAATGAAATTCGTTTGATTATCGACGATAATTCAGAATCTAAGCTGAAAGAAAGGCAATCTAAGCCTTATTATTTCGCGCAGAACCTTAATCCTCCTGCCAGATCGAGATGACTTAAGAAAAAGCAGTTCTTCGGTTTTAGATGCTGTTTCTATGCGAGAAATGAAATGTATTGAATTCGCTTTCCTAAGGCGATTCTATTTCTAAATACTTTTGGGAGTCAACCTTGTATCATAATGAGCAAATGACATACATTTACACATTCATTATAACAAGCTTCACATAAACAAAGTTGACAGTTTTCCAGAATCATCATTCACCGATAAATGATGCAAAGAAGTGACGGGCTACTAACTTCTTTTTGAAGTCGGACGCACATTGTTGCACATGTGTAGAAGATGTTACATCCTTATCTTCGTTCAATTAGACTAAGTGGTTAAATAGAAAGAAACATAAACATGTGAAGACTACCAGATGTCATGAAATGTAATGTCTAATTAGCTGTTCTGCATTCATGGCATACGCGACCGGGCCAACAAGGTCATTGGACAAAGAACATGACGTAGGGTGAGCAGGCGCATGTCACGTGAATGTAAATATTTTCTCGAAAATTCTGGCAGACACATGAGAGCATAAAACAACAGTTCAAACATCACAATAAGGAGCAAACAGGCAGCTATTTCTTAGCTGTATTTATGAATATAATAAACCGCAATGACACGAATGTGAGTGAAATAGTGCCCACGAGAAGCAGCTGTCGGACATAACTTGCACATGACACATGCAGTAACTTCACATTTTATGAATGAGGAGTGCACTTTGTAAAATACAACAATAACGCGTCACATGTGAGGCAATGAATGACGAAACCAATGACGAAATAGTCTGGATGTAGATTTTGTGCTCCAGCTCCAATGCGCTGACTCACGGCTACCGCACGTTCGGCCTTTAAAATGACCGATCTAAGTTTAACGTTTTTGGATTAGGTTCTTAACTTGCTTTGGATCCGTACAGTTGAGATTGTGGATTGAATATTTTCTCGACTGTTCTTGCTCCTCATCTAATGCGCATGCTCCAGAACTAGAGTGGACTAGTTCCTCCTCAATCCATGTTT